CATTTGAATAAAGCAGGGGAATTTGGGAATTAGGAGACCCTTCCCAGCTAGCTTAGGCAGTCAGGGACTATTGTCCGTGGAGAACAGATTGTGGAAATCCTGTGACATTTTAAAATTAAACCAACCTTTCCTGATATCCAGGGTGACGACTGTGCTGTTGTTCAGAGTTATTGATTGGTGTGTGTTATGTATTGCTCTTCAAGGTCAAATCTGTGTTGCCAGGACAGGACTGCCTGAATTTAGGGTCACATGAAGCCTTCGCCATAGCTGTTATAATTTTTTCCATATGCTCCCTTGCCACACTGGAGAGGGGTAGGGAAGGTGTTCCTGTGATACCAGCAGGCAGCAAAATTTTGGGATCTCATCTCCTCTGGGGTGAAGAGAAGGAGCAACCAATACCCAGTGGCCTTTAATCGAGGGGAAAATACAAGTGGACATTTTTTCACTTGCAGCTGGTTTAAATTACACAGAAGAAATTAATCATCAATTCAGTGGTTAAATAGATATCCATGCAAGCACATCCCTCTGGTTAGAGAGTTCCTCCAAAGGAACAAGGGTGTCATTCATCTCAGGGTGTTCTTTTGACATGTGCTTTTGGTTGAGAAAATTGCATAGACAGTTGTAAACAAAATAGAAAATTGGGGTATATCAAAAGTAATTTTAAAAGAGATTAGTTGGTAAGATGGATATTTTGCATAGTTGTTTACTTCTGGGGTATTCTTGGGTTTTTTGTAAAATTTTGAACAGTCAGTTAATGGGCTGTAAATCTATAGGATTTTAATAAGATAATTTAGAAATAGATTGCTTAAATCTCTGAGAGCATTAATTGCAAAATACATGTTTCCATTAACTTCAAACTGGAACTAGTGTTAATTATTTGTGACTTATGTAAAGACAACTACAGGTAAAATGTTAACTTACTGTTACAGTTCCAGTTTGCTTGTGGTTTGTTTGGTTTTTTTAATAGCACCCATTCAGACAGAAGGAATAAATATTGTGAAATCTGATGTAGGTATAAAGCCTGATATCTAATGCTTTTGTAAAAATGTGTTGAGCTTCTTCAGAGAATGTTCTTTGAATGAATAAATCAGAACTAGAGGAGACCTAAGGATAAGGCTGCCTTTTTCAGTGTAAAATCGCTCTTGTGCACATTCCACTTAAAAAACTAAAATAAAAATTTGCACAGTTGGATGTCCAGTGTTGCCCAGTTCCCAAGTGGATTGTAATTTAAAACTGAAAGCAGGGCACCACCTGCACTATTTGACTGTTTTAATGAGGTCCTGGGAAAATTATTTTCTAGGGAATTATATTACTTGAATAGCAGGCCTGGCTGGCTCTTTTACCCACTTCATATTTTTTATAATTCTAGTTATTTTTCCTGTTTGCAGCTTTCCTGGGCTGTTATCATCCTGTGGAGCTGGTGATCTGCTGTGATAAGAGATACAGAAAATAATATAAGGGATGCAGAAAGAAGGTTGAAGTAGGGTGGTATAAATGGCAGTGCTCTGGTATTTTGGATTTCAGGAATATAGTACATTATATCAGGGAAATTTAGACCTGACCTGACCTGACCTGTCATCCCCACTGTTGCTCAGAACACAAACTCTGTGTTTGTCAACTTTGTAAATAAGTTGATATTTTGCTCTGGGAACAGACAGTAAAATGTCATGAGATTAATAATTAGGCAGCCACAGTATATGATCAATAAAAATCCTGGTGATTTTTTCCTCGGTCATGGAATGTGCTTGCCCCAAGTACAGCACAGCAGTGTGAAAGTAAAGAAATCGATTTTTAAAAATTTTATTTTCTCGGAGTGATGGTTTATTTATTTATTTATTTATTTATGTTGGTTTAGGGGTGGTTTTTTTGTGGTGGGAGTGAGATTTTTTTTTTCTTTTGAATCTTCATTCTGTAATTCACTTTCTTCCACAGCTCTGCTGGCAGAGAGGTGGTGGAAGGGTGGTCTCGTCAGCTGCAGAAGAGGTGGTGGGCTTAGTTATATGGCATTTATTGATGGTTTAAGTAACCAGGGCAGTGGCAGCACCGAGGCAATGCTGGCTGCCACCAGGAACAGCCTGTCTCTGGCCTGGGGTAGCACCTCTGCAGCAAAGCACAGCCCAGGGCATTTGTCCCTGCATCAGCAGCATTCAGACACTGGGATGAGTCAACCATAGGAACAGGTTGTCTGCTCACCTTCTGCAGCGGTGGGCAATAGACTGACTGCCTGTGTCAAGGTCTTGTGATGACACTAAATAGAGCCTGTCTCTGGGTATTCCTTTCCTAAGAGAGAAGGCTTGTCATTACAATTTTTTACATGGCAGCGAATGCCTGATTGCTCAATAACTTCTCTGGTTTTACATTTTGTTCACAATTTAAAGGAACTTGTTAAAATTTTTAATGTAAAAAAAGCTTTAATTACAACCTCCTAAAAGACAAGTGCAGATTTGCACCATATAGATCTTTGACCATAGCCAGTTACGGAGGTCAAAGTATCTCATTGGTATATTTACTGTATGGCACAGACTCATGCTCTGTCACGGACTGCCATGTGAGTTACATAGGCTTCAAATGTTAGAAATGCTAGAAGCCTTCAAAGAGGTGAATTTGGGATGGTCACACTCAGGAGTCCTGACTGGATCTCTGTTACAGTAGTGCACAGAACGGTGTTGGGTTTTTCCATAGCCTCACTGATGGTTTTCAGCACGCTCAAGGCGGGAAGTGGAGGGACAAGTACCAATATCCACACTCCTCATGACCAGTGACAGGACTCAAGGAAACAGCATGAAGCTAAGGCAGGGGAGGTTTAGGTTGGATATCAGGAAAAAGTTTCTCACCCAGAGGATGGTTGACCACTATAATGGTATCCCCAGGAAAGTGGTCACAGCACCAACCTGACAGAGATCAAGAAGTGTTTGGATAGTGCTCTCAGGCACATGGTTTGATTCTTGGGGTGTCCTGTGAAGGGCCAGGAATTGGACTTGATGGTCCTGATGGATCCCTTCCAACTCAGAGTATTTTATGATTCTGCGTATCAGGACTTGGTCCTTTCTTGGGTTTTTGGTTGCTTGGAGAAGGAGGAAGAGTGCTGGTTGTAGTCAGTAATAGGAACAGGTCTACAGTTTGGGCAGCACACTCATACAGTGGTTTTTGCTGCCTGTTCTGTGTCAGTTTGCTCTGCGGGGCTTGTTGGTGTTGCATGTACCCCCAGGTAGAATACAACTCGTGCCATATATTCCTCCCCTGGTGCCTTGACTGTCAAAATAATTTGCTAAAGGCACTAATCAGTGCTGTGTTTTTCTAGACCATTTATCTGGTTTATTTTGCATTACATAAAGACCAGCCATTAGATGGGTTGCATCCCTTCTGTGTTAATCCAGCAGCATGAATGCAGAGCGAGAGAGCTGTGGTTTGAGCACAAGGGCCCCGTGCGCTGCTTTCCTTATCTGCTCTCCAATCTTTGAGCTCTTATATAATATGTTTAAGACTGTTTTTTTGACTAATCTCTTTTGGGGTCTCATTTTGCATTCTTAGTCTCCAGCAACAAAGAACTGGTATGCTCTTCCTTTGTGAAATCCTTTCCAGAAGGTGCACGTTATCTACTACGAGACAAGGCAACGATGAGCATCAATTTCCATGGCAGAACAGAAGCCTGGATTACAAATTACTATTTAATCCTTTTTGCGTCAAAAGAGATAATAATCCTTGTAAAATGTGCTCTAAGTCTTGAGCTTGACTGTGTGAGGTTACGGGGCAAAAATCAAAATAGGGAATCTAGTAAAAAGTTAGACATGGAGAAATGTATGTGTTCCATGTGAATTTCAGAATATATGTTTAGAACTGCATTTCAACAGTCAGAAATAAAGATGATGGGCTGATACCTGGACTACTAGTTTTCATTTCTCTGTATCTTTTCTACTGCTCTGCTAGAAAACAGTCTCTGTCGTGAGTGTTGCTTGCTGAATTGCAGTCAAGAATTTAGGTACAAAGCAAGCATTGCTCAAATTTTATTTTTTTTCTCCCCCCACAAGTGAGAGCATTTACCAAAACTAACAAATATGGAGGTGTCTTAAGACTGTGAGAAAATCTGTTTTATTTTCTAAATTATCATGCTACGTGTGTCAAGCAGTGTGATTCTTTAAGGGAGAGAAGGGTAAATAAGGTTGGGAGGGAAAAGGATTTAGTGTTTGAAATTGCAGACTGATGGCTGCACAACTTCCTGCCCAAGCAGCTATTTTAAGAGGAGCAAAGTTTAATAACATAAAATGTTTAGAAAATAAATCCATGCTGACAGACCTAGAGTCCTTTCTTGCCACACTGAGTGTGCTGTAACTTCGTTAGGTAAAAAGCAAAACAAGTGAGTTGTTTGAAACCAGTCGTTTCATATGATTAGTTTATTCCATATTTTTATGGATGGAGTCTGTCCTTCTTACTGTGTAGCAATGCACAGAGAAAACTTAGAAGTAAGTGAAGGTATATCTGCAATATTACTAATGGAATGAACCAGGGTAAGCCGTTTGCTGTTATTTATTTAACTTTATTTTATTTAATGAAGTGTATTTAGAACGTTACTAATAACCTAATATTCTGTATAGTCAAAATCCTAAAACCAGAGTAGGACTAGATTAAAATTATGTCATATTAAAAAACACATTTAATTATTTGATCATATAACCATCATTCCACAATAGGGTATTTTTGTGCCAGATGCTAATTGCATGCTTCTGCTGTGACAATGCATAATGTGGTGTCCTTGCTGTCACAAAATGGTCATCTTGCAGGTGAAGACTGTACTGCACCAACCACAAAATGTTTGTGTTATAAAAGGATTCATACTTGTAGATTTTTTGTTGTTCTTTTCTATGACAAACTTACAGAAAACAGGAATATTCCCTTGCTCTATCTTGCTAATGTATTTTGGTAAACCCAGAAGTCAAGTGTTTTGAAGAGACCTTCCATATTTCCTGTAAAATTAATAATTTCGATTTCTTTATGTGTTGCAGAAAATGACTGAAGAGCATATATAAGTCACCCTGGAAGAAGTAGCTTCGCTGTGAGCTTTACATGAGCATCCCCATCCTATGAGAAGGAAGAGAAGGATCTGTCAGCCTTCTTAGCTGTAAAATGGGGACTACAGGTGACGACATGGCTGCAGTTGAGCAGAATGCCTCCTTGAACCCTCTGTGCTTTGAGTGTGGCCAGCAGCACTGGACAAGGGAGAACCATCTCTACAACTACCAGAACGAAGTGGATGATGACTTGGTGTGCCACATTTGCCTTCAGCCCTTGTTGCAGCCGTTGGACACTCCCTGTGGACACACTTTCTGCTACAAGTGCCTAAGGAACTTTCTGCAGGAGAAGGATTTCTGCCCACTGGATCGAAAAAGACTCCATTTTAAACTCTGCAAAAAATCGAGCATCCTTGTTCATAAACTGTTAGACAAGCTCGCTGTTTTGTGCCCCTTCTCTTCCGTGTGTCAGGAAGTGATGCAGCGATGTGACCTGGCGGCACATCTTAAAAACAGGTGAGTGCTGCACGTGCTTGCATTGCATTTTCCCCGAGGCTTGTTTGTGGCCAGTTTGTGTAGCAGTAGAAATTGTGGGCAGGAGACGGGTGGAGAGATGGTAGTGGTTTTTAAATTCACAGCAGAAGACCCTAGGAAATGGTCAGTCTGTAACTGTGCAGAGGCAATGCATTGGATTACCCTTTTTTGTATATCACACCAGAAAATAGTGAAGGCTGCTTAGTAATAGCCATAGGGAGAATGACGTGGATCATTAGAGATCTGAAGAAAATGATTTATCAAGAAAATAAAATACAGTGGCAGTTGATTACAGTAGGGGAATAAAGGCTGAGGGAGTGGGAAAATGAGAGATATGCGAACTCTATCTGCAGAGAGGAGAGAACTAGTGCAGTAGGAACAAAGAAGATCAAGGTCATATTTTAGGAGAGAAAGCTTTATAATGGTCAGGCGCTGGCATAGATTGGTTAGGTGGTAGTTGTCCATTCCCCATTTTTAGAAGTGTTATGAACATGTTAAACAAACTTTCATCAGGAATAGTTACATCAGAATTGATCCTGCTTTGAGGTAGGCAGATGGACACAGTATCTCTCAGGACTGGTGGGCCTTCTCTGCCTGCCCTCTGTCCAGTCCAGGGACACTGGTGACATGGACAGAAAGGTTCATTTGAGAGGTGCATGGACCAACTCCATGGACTTCTTTCCAAGTCTTGGTCTTTGTCCATTTGGAGACTCTTGGAGACTGTCTTTGGGTGGAGAGTGATATTGCAGAGGAGATTGAGAGCTTGTGCGTGCTGTGGGTGTGCCTGCAGAGAAAAGGAAAAAGACAGACACCACCTGCCTTGGAAACTGTTTGTTCACATTCGTATTTCCAGTGTGCCTTCTTCCTTTTTCCACACATCCTGAAGGCTTCTGGGGATTCAGAGGTTGGGAGGACTCTGGGCGTGCAGAACATGCAGCAGCCCTGTGGACAGTGGTGAGCATGGAGCTGCCTGGGTATTTTTGGTTGTTGTTGTATGGTGTCCATGTTAGGAGCCTTTCTCTCTAGGTTTTTATCTTCTTTTTTTTTCAAATTCTCCACATAGCTTCTGTGTTAGCTTAAGGACTTGCTTGTTTACTTGTGGCAAGTAGTTTCTGATCTATATGATGACTTGGGGTGGTGAGGAGGCCTGACTGTTTTATGATTTATAATCCTGATATTTAACTGATTCGATTTTAATGAAAGGCAAAATGCTAGCAGGACTACTGCTAAGTATTGGATTCATCTTCTGCTTTCCCACTGTCATATCCCTCACCTCTTCAGTCCTTTTTCCTTGGCTGACACTGTTTTGAATGATATTAGGGCTGTTTACAACAGGGTCATGTAATTTGTTTGTACATAGAACACTATGTATGCACTCCTTTAGTATACATGAAATATCCATTTGCTTAATGCACAAGGTTGTCGTGGAATCCAAGTGAGCTGAGTCACAGGCTTTTCCTGTTTGTCGGCTGGAAAAAAGCTTTCAGTTGCAGAAGGCTGCTCATTTTCAATTCCTTCTGTTGTCTTGGTTATCTTGGCTGATACATGTTTTGAATATATGGTGATTTACAGTTTTCAATTAAGTTTATTTGCAAACATCTGAGCACCTATAAATTAGCATTGCTGACATAAATGATGGCAGCAACTGCATAGTTTGAATTTAATTCTATGTGGATTAGTGAATCTAGTAAACTTCTACTGCTGATCATTACATTTAGGAAAGTAATACAAAATTCAGTATTATTGTAATTGTCAGCATTGATTAATATAAACCAGTCTCAACAAGCCTTTACATCAACTGGTTTGTGTTTCTAAAGAAAGCAGTATGGTTGGTTAATTTTCGCTGTCTAAAAACCTTCACACCAGGGTTTTTCCAGTGTTTTTTTATTGACTTCATTTGAGCATAAAAGCTGGAAGAAAATGTCATTGTATCCACCAGGTGCCTCAGAATGTAAGGAGCATTACTGCAAGATGCTCCCACGAGGAGATGAGAGGCATCAGACACAAACCTGATTACTTCACAGTCACTAATTGCACTCCATGATACCTCATTGCACAAAGAAAATATTCCTGATTTCTCCAACTCTTGAGTTTCATTATATTCACTTGCAAACTTGGTTTTTAAAGTTAAACACAGTGATGTAATATGATTTAAAGGGAAGAACCATATGAGTCATGTTGTACTGTTTCTCAGTCACTTGGTATAGAAAACTTGTTAATGTTTGGCAAAGTAAGTTGTTTAAGGAAAGACTGGATGTGGCATTCAATGCCATGGTGTAGTTGACATGGTGATGTTTGGACTCTATGATCTCAAAGGTTTTTTCCAACCTAGTTAATGCTGTGATTCTGTGATTTCTTAAATATCAAAGGTAAAGTTATGAGAAGAAAATCTGACAAAAAGTTAATAAGATTTTTATGATTTTAACTGAGTTAATTCTTATGGGTTATTCAGAAGTAAAATAAGTCTATTGTACAAAGACATACTGTGAAATTCTTACAACTTTATAATGAAAGGGTTGAGTATTGTGTTTATTGCTTTTGAGTTGGGCTTTAGCTTTTGCTTCCTGTATTTCCCTATGGTAGCTTAAGTTACCATTTTGGAGGGAGACATTTTTCCAACTGGGTAAGATTGCAGATAATTTTATGTCCAATTAAGTCTGGACTTTATATAGTATTGCATTTTTTTGAATTGAATAAACATTTGAGCTATTCACTGTGTGTTGCTCAGCATGCTTAATATATGGGTTTAGAGTAAAAAAATCCATAGGAAGACAAGTTACAAAGGTACAGAAGTTTATCATTAAAAATCATGGCAATCCCAGTTATTTTGGTGCTTATGACAGTGCTGGTGAGCCCTGTTCTTCCCACCCTCTCCCATGTTAGCTGCAGGCACTGTCCCTGCCTGGCACTTTGGAGCACCAGAAGTGAAGAGGATCTCTGGGATTTAACCCTCTTTTGAATAAGTGGATAGGCAACAGATCCTTACAGTTTTTACATGTCCTATGGACTCCAGCCATAGCTGGAAAGGTAAACAATATCTACGTGGTTGTTTTCTGCTGTGAAGCCACTTGACTCCTTGTAAGCTTCTCACATTGTTGGGTGGGAGAGAGAAGTATGAAACAAAGTCACTCTTATTTTATTTATCTTTAGTCTTCTCTGATTCCCAAACCTAGATAACTCCTGGTGCCTCAATTTCCCGACTTTGTTTTTCCCTTCCTTTTTTTTTTTTTCCTGTCAAAAGAGAAACTAACACCCAGATGCTTAACTTTCCAAAGCAGCACCAGGTTTTACTTTGAATTGCGGCTGTAAATCTTGCCAGAATTACTGCTTAAGGTCACTTTGCTGGCAAAGTTTTATGAGCAATAGCAAAGGCACTTGGTTGCTTCTTTGCAGTCTTTGCTTAAATACAGCTCCTGCTTGGAAAGTGATTTAGTGCAACTGGTTTGAGGTTACTTAGTGTGTTTGCTTTTATCAAATCACTAGACTGGGCAGAAGCTGATGGCTTAGGTTACAATGAATTCTTTCTTTTCAGTAGTCAGTGAGCAAATGTGTTTTTCAAGCTCCTACTGTTATTCTGCAGAAATACCCTGTAAACTACATCTTAATTTTGTATGAAAGCTCTTTTTATCAGCAAAGAGGGATTGCTGCTAGTGTTCCAAGAAGTCAGCTTTTAAATGAGAAATCCAGCAGACTTGGCTGTAAAAAATACAACAAAAACCCACCAAACAAGAAGATCCATTTTTCTTCTCTGTCTGATATGAATTAAGAAAAATTGAAGGTAAAAGCTACTTTGTCACCATCCAGAATTGTGCCGAAGCTGGTGCTGAAGAGGGTAGAGGAAAAAGCTGAATATAAGCAGAAGCTAATTTCACATCTCTAGAATAACTGCCCTTCAATCTTCCCATTAAGTAACATTACTCAGTCGCTTTAGCTGAGTAGTTTTACTACTATCATAGTTTTTCTATTATCATAGAATAGTTTGATTTGGAGTCTTACTCTTGAGCATCTTGATTCATGAAGGAAATTAAAGAATTTCTAAAAATTCTTAAAGTAGTCCTGCCTTTGTTCTTGCTCCTAGACAAGATATTCTGGCTTTGTAGTTAGCTATGAAATACCATTTCTCTAAGTTTGAATTCAACCCTTACTTATGCAATTTGTTTTATGAGAATTTTTTATGAGTAAAGGAATCCAATCTTCAAAGCTTGTTTTGATCACAAGATGCCCATCTGTGTACAAAACTTGTTAAAAGGTTTAGTCCAAAATGCTCTTTATCCCAGATACTTGGTATTAGTGAAAGTGTGCACCTTTAGAGATTTATTGGTTCTTAAGTGTTACAACTGCTGTATGGTTTTGCTGTTCGTGAATAATACATTCTTACTGCCAACAAAAATGTTTTTATGTTGCAAGTGGAAAGAAAAAAATCTCCGTAGAGATGTGCTTGAATACCAATACAGGGCTTTGCTGTTTGGTAGGTGGCATGCTGTGTTTAAAGACCTAGGAGCTGGCATCCCATGAATTAGTATCTCCATTAGACTGCTACTTTCCTGGCAATGCCATTGCACTGAATTCGACTGAAATTCAGAGTCTATTACAATTACTGGTTAATTTGGGGAAGAATCTGTGGAGTTTTGCCCTTTTTTGCCTCATACAGTGCTGCACAAAAGGATTTCCACTGAACTGAGTAGGTGTGTGCTCAGGAGGCTGTTTACATTTCTTGGTACTAGCTTTTGAAATTATAATTAAACATCATTGGCCAAAATAAACCTCAAATCTATTTATATTTTGTGTGATGACTTTCATCAGCTGCCAGGTAATGATGGGAGAATGTGCTCTGTGAAGGAGGGTGGAGGAGGACCTGACTGTGGTTTAGAAGGCTTTGACAGAAATAGGACACTTCCAGGGATGAGTTTCGTGCTGTCCTGGTTTGACACAGCTTAAAAAACCCCAAAACTCTAATGTGTGCTTTGCCACCTCGAGCAGGTCCTTTGGGCTCCTCGGGCCTTATGAGATGGCTGAGTCAGAGTGAGCAACAGTGCAGTGGTTTGTAGGAGGTATCTAAGGAAGCGTCTGGCTCATGGATGTAGTCCAGTAAGGCTGGACTCTGCTGTCAGGCTCAGAGGGATTGAAGCTTGGTTCTCTGAGACAGTGTTGGTTTTGAACTGTTTATTCACCTCTTTGCTGAGAAATCACTACTTCTATAGCACAGCAGTTCAGGTACATCAAGGGCACGGTTTGGGGTGGTTTTGTCCTAATTTCTTGTGAATCAGTGTGGAGGAGAGCATGTCTGTCTGAGCTCCCAGCAGACAACAGGTTTTCTCTGCAAGAGCATTTACCCCTTGCTGTGTTGCTGCAGAAGTGAGTGATGTTGTAGATTTCTCCTTTTTTCTTTTTTTTCATCTTGCCAGCATTAAGATTTGAGGGAGCATGAGGCTAACCCATCAAGTTAAAGTATGTTAGAAATACTGAGGGAGGTGTTAGCATCTCTCCTTTTCTTGGTCTCTTGGGACTGTTGTTTTGAGGTTTGCATTGTGAAATGGTCAATGATAGAAATTTCCTGCTGGTTTTCACCTGTAATTGTGTGTCTGGCCACCAGACAGATATATTGGCCAATCAGTCCCACTATACCAGTGGTTTACTGTAATAAATACTGTCTGGGCAAAGCCAAGAAATAGAGTTGTGTTCCATCATTAAAATAAGAGAAATGTTTTCACAAAGCAAAACCTTTCAAATAATTTTCATCTTTCCTGCTTACACTTGCTTAACTTTGAAGAACAAAACGATCAGCAGTTGCTTTGGGAAAAGCCCCAAGGAATTATTTCTGAAATGCATCGTGACATAATATGAACTGTTTCTAATGTATGTTTTTATGCATATTTCAAAGAATATTTGGGTTACCTTTTTTTATTCTTCTAAACATGGAGAACACAAACCTCTGGGGAGGCCTTACAGCACCTTTCAGTATCTAAAAGGAATATAAGAGAGCTGGAGATTATTTTTTATAAGGTCATGTAGTGATAGGTTAAAGGGAATGGCTTTAAACTGAAAAAGGATAGATTTATATTAAATAATAGGATGAAATTCTGTACTGTGAGTGTGGCGAGGCACTGGAAAAAGTTTCCTAGAAAAACTGTGGATGCCCCATCACTGAAAGTGTTCAAGGCCAGGCAGGATGGGGCCCTGAGCAACCTGGTCTAGTAGGTGTTCCCTGTCTGTGGCAGGGGGGGTTTAAACTAGATGATCTCTAAGATCCCTTCCAACCATAAACACTCTATGATTCTATGTATATAATTAAATAGAGAAAAAAGGTATTTTCAGAGACATATATATATATATATATATATATATATAATGTTATGTATGTATAACGTGGCTGGGGGTTACAAAAGCTTTATCAACATTCTTTGGATCTGAAAACTTTGTTAGCAGGTTATCTTCAAAATCCATGCTGAAACAGTCTAACCATGTAATTACCAAATTTCATTTTACAGAATGTCAGAACAGAATTGTGATTCTCAAAACATTCTGCTTTAATAAGTTAGGATGTCATTAGGCTTCTGCTGTCTTTTACTCTGTTAACACATTTCTTCTCTTGCAAGAATAAATAATTTCTTCTTTTGTTATAACGATCTGCCAAGTTCCCAAACACTGAATCCTTTAGAGAAAGTGGCTCCTTTTTTTCTGACACTGCTACAGTATGAGTGTTTTTAGGTGGTCAGCAGCTTCAGAAGCAGTAAATTTAGGGACGTTAAATACTGTAAGAAGTGTTTTATCAGACACTGGCAAAACTGTCACAGAGGCAGATATAAAATTGATGTCCACATCTAATTATGTGCACATAAGTTTAATACAATTCGATAAATGAAGGTTTTCCGTACATTTGCTACCTTGTGGCCCTTTTTTGTAATAAACTATTGTAGGTTTTTAAACATAAGCAAAAACAAATACTGAATTGAGAGTAATGGAAACTTACAAAACTGATTTTGTAGTGAAAAGCATCAAATGCTAAGGGAGCATTGTTGCATAAGGGAAACAAAAATTGCACCTCCTATGTGAAGTCAGAAAAGAAAGGAGACAGGAGGGAGATGAGAACACCTATTGGGCCAAGAGATGATGAATAGAGCTGTTACTTTTGCTCAACCTCTCATACAGGTTTCTAGAGGAAGCAGAGTTTTCTTTCAGTATTTTAACACTTAGATTGCAAAATAAGTGAAATTTTAATCTCTTTCCTCCTTTGAATGAGCCCAGGAAAATATGATATTTATTTCTTTTGGCTTAGTAAGGTGAAAGGAGATGGCTTCGTTGGGTCTCCAGTTGTGTCTTGGAACAGGACTTCTCTTATGTGGATTTTTTTGACCATCCTGTTTAATCTTTCCAGCAGGTTATCTTCCAGAAACTGAAATGTACAGAATCAACCTTCTAGTGGAATGTGATTCTGTCCATGGCAGAGGATTTGGAACTAGGTGGTCTTTAGGGCCTTTTCCAACCTAAACCATTCTGTGATAACAGAGTAAGTCCACATTCAGAAGATGTTACAGCACATTGACTTCATGGCCGAAAAACTACCTAGTAGAAGTTTTGTGAAGAAAGCAGTATTGGGGTTTTGTCGACTAAAACATGTTTTGGCCTTAAAATTTAGCATATTTAATAATTTTTTATGCTGTGTTTAGAGCTGTGGCTTTGAAGAAGACTGATTTAACTCGATGAAGTACTTGGGCATTTTGTGTTACAAGCAGGGCTGCAGGCTTGAAGCATGATGTCAGTGTTGTCTTTACAGGTGTCCTGGGGCTTCTCATCGGAGAGTTGCTCTGGAGAGAAGGAAAGCAAGCAAGCTGCAAGCAGAAGCAGAGGGCGAGAGTGGTCTTGGCGGGCCGGAGCAGCCCAGCAGTTTATCTCCAGACCCTGAGCAGGGAATAGTGCCAGCTGAGCCGAGCTTTACCTCACCCGCCCTGCCCGCTTGGACAGACGAGCCCGGCATCGACAATCCGCCTTTTGAGGAGAGCACAGTAGCAGACAGTATGTCATCATTTATCTTCTCAAGTCTCTTTTATCAGATGTGGAAACATTTGTGGTGTCAGAGCTTTTGTCTCTTACCAACTGTGAATGTGTATCTTCATCTTTGGCTCTTTTCTTTTGCAATTTCTGGAGAAATATTAGTAGGTTTTGATTATGTGCAAGTTTATAACTGAAATAAAGTCGCAGGAAGGAAAGAAATATCTCAGAGTGTGTGATGGCTAGTGTGGTACTGTATCGTTATTTATTGTGTCATGGTACAGTAGTTCATGTTAATCTGTTAGTGGGACTGGCCTCACAAGTGGCATGGAAGGAGTGTAGCTTCTGTAAAATTACAAAAGTTTTGTTTTCCAAGATGAAATTTGTTTTTCCCTCTTCACCCTTTCCCCACAACTGGATCAGCAGCCTTCTCACACATGAAGTGCTGTCTTGCTTGAGCAAAAAGGCAGCTGAGTTACCCCTGCACTCATCTGCACCGAATGAGCAGTAACACCTTTAGCATCTGGGATTTTAGAGAGGAAGTGCTGAGCCTTACCACAGAGGAAGGTGGTCCTGTCCCCTTTCTTCTTCTCTGTATTTGCCATCCTTTAGCATTCGCCTTTTTCCTCCATAGTTTGTCTCCATGCTTGCTTCAGAAATGGGCTCCTTCAGTTTACCCAGTAACTCAATAGCAGCTCCTCATGCAATTGCAAGACAGAGAGGTTATTTGCGGGGTAACCCCTAAAACACGTTGTTGTTGTTGTCATCACCAAATGCAAATCCCCAGGTGACCGAATGAATGATATGAAATTTATTATAAAGGATGGGATCTGAAGGGTTCAAAATATTATCCTATTCCAATCCAAATTACCCCATTTCAGCAAGCATGGATGCTACTAAGTCATTAGTTCCTTTCTAATAAGCTAGGGGTTTCAACAAGTAGTGGAACTGATCCATTTGCACTGGTTTAGTTTTTTGATAAACTGCTGCTTTGTGGCCTGTCTACGTTATCTTTTTGTGATTTATTTTATTGGAAGTGAATGAGGTAGAAAATATATTAATTGTCTTTCTTTTTAAAAATAATTGGCAGCAAATCAACAGCCACCTACCTTGCCTGAAGGAGAGATCACTACTATTGAAATTCATCGGTCCAATCCTTATATTGAATTAGGAATTAGCATAGTGGGTGGCAATGAAACACCTTTGATCAACATTGTCATTCAAGAGGTTTATCGAGATGGGATCATTGCCAGAGATGGAAGACTTCTTGCTGGAGACCAAATACTTCAAGTATGGAATCTAATTACATATTCTGTTTGCTTGCTGTCTATTCGCTCCTTGCAGAATTGTTGTTAAAATGAGATGGAAGATTTTCCTTGTCAGACTGTGTTGTGTCAATGTTAGCTTTGCAATTATCAGCTGGGAAGCAAATTAATATTCAGAGCAGAGCCTGTTGTTCTAGCACTTTTGGCTATCGTGCTTTATGTTGTTTGTCGGACCATTCCCTGGAATTATCTTTCCTCCCTAGCATCTGTTGTCAACTTTTAAAATACAAGTTTATTTTTCTGTTTTTAAATGCTGTGGGGACTTGGTCCTTATTTCAACTTTATGCATGCATTCCAAAGGAGCCCAAGGTTATTTCTGGCTAGCAAGTTGGCGTAACTTGTCCTATGTAAAAAGCAATTTGTGGATTGTAAGGCTGGCTTCATTTAAACTGTTATTTTAATCTGACTTCACTCTTGCCTTCCAAAAGCTGAGGCAGTTGACCAGCATCTTTCAGTATGCATGAAAGACTCAGTGATAGGCTTCAGTGGAAGGATTTAAAGCAAGGTGCTTGAAGTATTTAAGGAAAAAAATAACAAAATGTAAGTTGGTTTTGAGCGAGTGTGTATTTTTGTTTTGGTTTTAAGTAATTAGCCACAGGCAGTAGAAAAAGACCAAATTCTATTAATTTAGAAGTTTTAGTTTTTATATTAGGGGAAGGAGTTGTTTATACTGCACTTAAGAATGGCAGTAACTGAGTGCTGCATAAACAGAACAGTCATCCAGCTTCTATTTTTAATCATTCCACCTGAAACAAATATATTACTGTAAATTCAAAGTTACTTCAGTAAGAATGTTTGCTTTTGATCTGGCAGCCTAAGATCAGTCCAAATGTAGTTGTAAGCCTTCTTCTTTTACTGTTTTGAAATCAAGCCGATAGACGTAGCTTAAATACAGTAGTTACCCTTGGCATAGAATTAGCTTGCACTTCAGAAAATAAAGTCTCTTTTGAGAAATGTGCCTTTTTCCTCTCTTGGAGTGTAAGCATAGTGGCTGGCCAAGAAAACAACCCAAGAGGTTTCCAAGATGTTGCCTTTTCAACAAGTAATTGCAGACACTGATTGAATGCTGCCTCATTTATTTTTATACTAAGGGCTCTACTTGTTTGACAGAATAGGGAGCTTGAGTTCCAGTGAAGCTTTGGAAATTCCTGCTGTTTGGGCAGGTGTCAGTTACAGTTTCCAAAGCCATAAATGGCAATGAATTGACTGTAAATAGGAATTTACTAGCTGCAGTGAGTCTTTCCTATCAACAGCCTGGCAGTGGGGCTGTCAGATGCTGAGTGCTAAGATGAAAGTCCTTCTCTCATGCCAAGGGAGAGGTAAAGAGGGTAAAACCTAAATTTTTTGGGGAGATAGAATATCTTTATTTCTTTGAATTTACCTGTGCAGGTGCTGAGCTGTTGTATTAAAATGATCAGGTTCAATCTCTGCCATCTGTAATTAGGTGCACTTAGGTGCAGCTCAGAATGCACACTTTAGTTGGATATTTCTGAAAATGTCTTCCAGGGCTTTTTTGAGCTGTAAAGGTCTAAAAGAAAGAGCCAGAAAGGACTGTGACATCAAACTCAGCATTTTCTTGCCCAGTCAAAGAAGAAGTATTACCCTTTTAAGAGCTGTGGGAACAGCATTTAGTAACAGCTACATAAAAGCTTGTGTTGTCTGCAAGGTACAGATAGGTGCCTAACATTTTCAAAGTGCTCTACAAATTGTCTCTTTTTTGTGCTGGACTGTGACTGTAATTCATGTGAAGCATGTCCTAATGAGAATCTCTTAGCCCAAGAAGTGCTAAGGCTATTTTCTTCTGAAATTTTAAACTGCCTTATAGAAAGAAGAATTACATTTTATTGTGTATGTTCTTCTGTGCCCTTTGAGTACTCCCATATTTTATGTATTTACTTTAGCTAGCTACAGTTAAAAATAAAAATAGATTTAATTTAAAGACTCTGATGGATGGGCCTTGGTGGTTTTTGCAGGAGGCAGTTCTAAATGTTCTTTCTCCTAGCTGTGCCTCTTTTCCCTCTGCCCAGGGTTACAGCCAGTCTCAGGGCAGTAGCAGAGCAGGACAGCACCGTGATTCTGTCTGAGCTCATGATGCTGCCAGCAGCAGTGCTGGGTTTTGGGCTGGAGGTGTCTCAGGGAGGGTGCAGTCCTCCTTCACCATCAGAAACCACCACAGCCAAATGCTTCGGCACAGACTTCTGGGAGCCCCTCAGCTCAGATGTGTGATGTAAATGTGGCAGCTGTTGTACATAGATTACTTTGCATATTTTTATAATTTTAATATTGCTGTTAGATGGTGAGAAGCTGCATGTTTGGTTTTTTACTTATTTAGGTTGCCATGGGGGGAGTATTAAAAGGCTTAGGTAAGGCACATCAATCAGTATAGACCATTTGGTGTTCGTTTCTGTCTGCTGAAATCGTGGGGCAGGGGTTCCTCCACCAAGGCTAAGGATGAAATTCTAATATTAACTTTGAATCCTTTCTTACAAAACAAGGCAACACAGCTTTTGTGCTGAATTTTTGTCATACTCCTCTTTTCTGCCAAATCTCATTGTACTGTCAGTTCTTATTTTTTCAGTGCAGGAAATGACTGAAGATTACTGGTCTTTGGATCAATGGGCCATATAACAAACACAGTTCTTAGTTCTAGGTAGAGAAAGTTTAATCTGTTCTTCATTTATAGGTGAATTTTGGGTAATACAGATTATAAGTCTGAAACTCTGGCCTAGTTGAAATCTGTGGAAAATCTAAGTTCATGCTAAGACTTGACAATTAGAACAACTGCCTTTTTTATACTGCCTTAATGAACCAATTTCATTATTCATGACTTCGGTTTTTAAAAAATGTTTTTTTCACATAATGAAAGTACTGCATATTGTAAGACACAAACTTGCTTCAGAGATTTGGATGCATTCTTTTTATAGCTATTATTTTGCAGTTTTAAGTGATGGCTGGGCTTGACACTGAAAGTGCATACCATGTTCTCTTGGAGAACAATGTGAAGATCTAAGGAGGACAAGTATAGGAGACCAAGAGGATAAAAACCTTGGCCTATGATGGCAGGTGTTCACTTTTGGGGACATGTTGTCACCTTTGTGAGAAAAGGCCTGAAA